TCCCAGGCTGTGTTTAAGTGCTGTATTTACATGGGAGCACAGCTACTGGTTGGACAAATTGTACTGGTAGCACAGGCTCTGGTCAGAGCTTTAGAAGCGTTTTAATTTGTTTGTGGGCATTTTGTGGTGGTCTGTCTGATCAGGGCTGAGGTGTGTGTTAAGTCTTTGGGGTCTCAGCTGTTAGAAAGGCAGCAACCCCCTGCCCTCACGTGAATTAAGTCACCACAGCAGTTACGAGAGAATGGGCCAGGGCCAGGCAGTGGAGTTGGGTTTACTCTGGACCTGGCAAAGGGGTTTGTGTTGCTCTCAGCGTGTACACACAAAATGACAGGCAAAGTGGTTAGCAGTAACTGCATTACACCGTGTCCTTCCCACTCGTCCTGCCTGCATGCCCATGCCTCCGTCCTGCCTCCACTTTTGCAGCTCGGCCATGTGCTGCCCTGCAGGAATCCCCGCTGGAACATGCGTCAGGCCCAGCGACAACCTGCAGCACGGGGCCTTGCTCCATCCAGAGCTGAAACCCTCACTGGGTACATTCAGTAATGCAGCTGAAGCAGTGTGCTTGATAGCTGTATGGTCATGCTTTTAATTACCATTAAAATAATTGGCACTGTGGCTACTGGGAGGATGTGAGAAGATCAGAGGCTCAAGGCTGTTTCTCCTGCTGCCTCGGGGGTACGAGCAGCTTTCAGTGTCTGTATAATTAAAAGCTACAATCTTTCATGTGCACAATAAAGAGGGTTGGGAGGTGGGGAGACTTCAGCCCTTCTGCATTTTATTTATTAAACATAATCAATGACCAGTCTCTCTTCTTCACAAAGGTTTTAGGAAACACTGGTGTTTGACAGCTGTGCTCCAGTATCTTAAGATACACAAGTGCTGTTTAGACTTCTTACATTAAAAACCTTGAACTGGCTTATTACCCAGGACCGGTGTGGGAAGGGAAGTGCAGTTACTGTACAGGAGAGCTCTGTTCAGGACATGTTTTTAAACCCCTCCCTCTATTTCCCCTTCCTCAGTCCACTTTCACTGGCAAGTCCATCCCTGCCTGGCAGCTCAGTCAGATTTCTGGTAGTGATCTCATTTTTCCTTCCTTCATCCCCATCCTGCTCATGCCACCGGTGCCTCCCTCTGCCCAGCGCTGCTTCCCCAGCCCGTGGTGCGCTCTGCTGGGTCCCCCTGTGCCGGGCTCCCTTCCCAGCTCCTCCCGCCCGCCGCCCTGTCTCGTGCTTCCGACTCCTGTTGACCACGAGCTGCTGGTCGTGTGACGATACTGGTCATCTCTGTGCTGGTCTCTGAAGTGAATCAAAAATCCCC